TTTCATGTCACGCATATCTGCAGGAGCACACCACGCCTCTCTAGGCCCTAGGGTTGGAGGTGGTAGGGACCAGGCACTGGGGAAAGGAGCACATTGTGTATGAACTTCCTGGCAGGAATTTACTAGCCCAGTTTTTGAACTTGGAATCCACAGGCCAGGGAGGCTGGGTGCCAGGGTCCATCTCATCCAGAGCGTCTTTCCTTCTTAGTTCTCCAGGTTCCTGGGCTTGCCCTGGGAGGGCGCTGCCGACGAGACGCAGTGGTGGCTGCCAGGCTGCCCTCAGAGGCCCAGGTGAGCTGGAGCCCCCTCCCCAGCACTCCTCACTGCTGTTGGGCTTCCCGTTAGGTCCCTTTCTCCCACTCCTCCCTCATCCTACATTCACATGGAGTTGGAGTTTTCTCATCAATCCCAAGGTTGCTTACTATTATCTACCTTTATTTTACAAGAATTTTTTTGTTTTACTCAGCACGGGGTGCTATCTGATTCCCCAGTCTTCACGCCCCATCTGTTTGGTCAGCTTCTTTATCAGTGGGATTTTCTTCTTCCACAAGGTGATTTAGCAAATACAAACCGAACATTTTGTTGTAATGAAGATTTAGCTTTGTTTTTTAAAGATTCATAAATTGTGCTCTTAGTGAGAGTTATAAGCACATGGCCTCTGCCCTCTAGGAACTTAAACTTGAAGAAACAGATGAGACATACTCTTTAGTCTAAGGTTTAATATTGCAATCTCAACACTCTTTACTTAACCTCTTCACTTTAATACCTTACCCTGTCTTTCATGTCCTGCTTGAAGATCTGTGTTTGAGGCCCTATAATATCTATGTTTTCCCTGTTTTTTTTTTTCACTTTAGACCTAGATTTCATTGTATATTTAAAATTGTTAATATAAATAAGCCCCCAGGCCACTTTGCCAAAGCACAGCACAAATATTTTGAAAGGTTTGGGTATGTTTCTCCTCCTTGCCCTGTACTCTCCCTTGTTTTCCAAACCCTTTTACGTTCTAAACTATTTAGATATTTATATGAAAGCATTTTTCCAAATGTGTGTGATATTTCTTCCTTAATGGTTATATATATATTTTTGAAAAAAATGTTATTAGAGATAGGGTTAAGTAGGTATAGTGCACCACACTTGGTCTTTTTAAAGAGCCCCTTGAGAGGGGGACGTTCACTCCCCTGTGCCCAGCTGTGGGCGTGACCCTGGGGAAGAGGAGCTAGGTGGGATCGTGTACTGTTTCAGGGCTTGCTGAAAACGGAAGATGTGGCCCTGGCTTTCTCCCCTGCATGGACACAGCTGGATTCACCTCGGGGGAGCTTCCACAGAGATGAAAGGCAGGAGAACTGTGGCGGCCTGACCCCCCTGGGTAAGACGGATGGGTGCTGGTTTCTCCTGGGGTTTCGGGGCTTCCTTTATCAGTCAGAACCTACCGGGCTGTGAGAACCTGTTTGAACTGTTTGCATTCAGAGCCACCATTTCTGAACCCCAACTCCTAACCACGTGTGTGACCAGCTCCTTAACCCCTGTGACCTTGCCTCCTTCCCCATCTGCCAGGGTTCTGGTCAGGTGAAGTGGGATGCAGCCCATGCAACCCCCAGCACAGGCCTCGCTCACAGGAGGTGCGCAGTGTTGATGCCCTCCCCGCTGCCAGCCTCGACAGAGGAGAGCTGAGTCCTCCTCAGGAAATGGGCCGTGGGCCCACAGAGCACGAGAGCAAGAAGTGGCCTGGAAGGGACAGCAGAGCTGACCTAGAGATCAGGGGACAGGACACAGGGCAACAGCTTGACTCGTCTGAGCTCACGCCGCTCCATCCGGTACCGTGGGAGCTCCAGCTCACATCTGTCCGCACCGAAGCCAGTCCTTGTCTGGGATCAGAGTGACTGCTCGTGTCCCTGATTAGGGATCAGTTTCTAAGCTCCCACTTGCCCCGTTTCTTACAGAGCGTTTTGCAAGTCCTTACACTTGCCTGCTTCCTGCCGCCTTCTGCCCAGCCCTCCTAGCGTCCGGCCCCAGCGCAGGGCCCTGCCTTCGTCCTTCGGACTTAGAGCCTCTGTGTGTGTCCCCAGCACAGCCCTCACCACCTTCCTCCACTCCCAGTGCGCACCCTGCTCGCGATGGCCCCGTGCCTCTTCTCCGGCCTCCTTCCTCCCCAGCACCCGTTGTCCCCCATTATTCCCACCCTTATCCCTTCACGGAAATCCTCATCGCAGAGTCTGTGGAACTCTGTGGCAGGGCCTAACTGACCGTGTCCGGCCACTTGTTATTTCAGGTGGTAACATGCAGGCTGAGATCACGGACCTGCCCCCAGATGAGCAACATCCAGGACAAGAGCCTGGGGAAATACCGCGCCACTTGAGTGAAGACATTGCCCGGATTCCTGCCTGTCTAGAAGCTGGTGAACAGGAGGGCAGGTTACCGAGAAAGCAGAAAAATGCCACAGGAAGTAGGCGGCACTACTGTCACGAATGTGGAAAGAGTTTTGCTCAGAGCTCGGGCCTGACTAAACACAGGAGGATCCACACTGGGGAGAAACCCTATGAGTGTGAGGACTGCGGCAAGACCTTCATCGGGAGCTCTGCCCTTGTCATCCATCAGAGAGTCCACACTGGGGAGAAGCCCTATGAGTGTGAGGACTGCGGCAAGGTCTTCAGCCACAGCTCAAACCTTATCAAACACCAGAGAACCCACACTGGGGAGAAGCCCTACGAGTGTGAAGACTGCGGGAAGACCTTCAGCCAGAGCTGCAGCCTCCTAGAACATCACAGAATCCACACGGGGGAGAAGCCCTACCCGTGCAGCATGTGTGGTAAAGCTTTCAGGCGGAATTCACACCTCCTGCGACACCAGAGGATCCACGGCGATAGAAATGTGCAGGATCCTGAACGTGGAGAGACCTGGGAGAGCCAGGGGAGGGTGGAAGGCCAGTGGGAAAACGTCGAGCCTCCCGTGTCTTATAAATGTAACGAGTGTGAGAGAAGTTTCACTCGGAACAGAAGCCTTATCGAACACCAAAAAATCCACACTGGTGAGAAACCCTATCAGTGCGACACATGTGGAAAAGGCTTCACGCGAACTTCATACCTTGTTCAACATCAGAGAAGCCACGTTGGAAAAAAGGTTCTATCGCAGTGACCCACGTCGTAGGTGGCAGAGTTCGTGCTCATTCCTCATTGACCCGAAGCCACCCGCAGCCCTTCCTGACCACAGAAACTGGGCTGGGCTTTACTGACCATTCCCATCATCTTGTGTTAGAAGACACAGAGTCTGGCTGAGGTGGATTCTCTTCTACATTCTAGAGGGTGGCTCAGGAACAGCTTATTTGGTAGGAGGTTACAGGAGAGTTGTCTGGAAGGGGTAGGACCTGAAATGTTTATTCTCACCTACTGGACTGAAACGGGCTTCCAGACTGGCTCACCACCTCCAGCCAGCACTTTATGATGTCTTGTGGGCAGAAGGCTGGGGGCTGCTGCTCTGACCATTTTGCCTATAAAGAATCCTCCATCAGTTGGTCAGATCCATGACATCTTACACTCCCCACTGTGCCTTTCGTATAGGTGCTTATAAACATTAAATATACCAGTGAAGTGACCTCCGTAGCTCTGAAAATCTAGTGTGGTCTAGATTTCTGAGGCCTTTCTAACTAAGGCCACTTGTTTTTGTGTATAATTCTTGGAGATTGTGGGTCAATTGTGTATTTATTGCCACGTACATAGGATCGTCAGAGTTGGGGTGGGGGAATCCGTATTTCTTCATCAGCATAGTACTTGTAGAAGAATGCCTTAAGCAGCTGGTCATTCAGATGTGGTGAGACCTCTCCATCCAGAGAACTCCATTCTTCAATGTTAATTATGTATTTGTTCACATTAATTTTGCTACTTTTTAGGGGGAAACCTTTCACATTCAGGTAAATAAAAAGTGAATTGATCAAGTCAGATCCAACTGGTTATGAATTTTGATGTAAATTCTTTGATGTTCAACAGCTTGTTTCTCACCTTTTAGTTATCTTGGGCCCAACAAATTGCCAAGACACCATCTGTATCCCTCCCTCCCAACTTCGAGCCAATTTGAATCACAGCTTATGATTTCCTCCAGGTGAGAGGATTCACACCAGATATTTATAACAAACTTCATTCATGTTTTCAGAACTGCTCCTTGGATGCGTCAGGATAGGAAGATAAAGTCAGAGGCAGCCAAGGAGGATGGGAACCCAAGTATGGGCAGTAGGAGAAAATGTATCTGTTCAGAATTACATTGGAATCGTACTCGACAATGTCCAAAGTATCAACATGTGAAGCCACAATAAGAATTTTGTGATATCTTTTGTTTTCACCCAAATCACCTTCTACTGAGTTCTTCAAAGGCTGACATCTTCCTGGTATCACCAGCTTCCAACTTGACCAGGCTGTGCCAAGAATGGATTCCATTTCTCATGGATCTCAGGGCCATGTTTTGTTCAGTCACCAGCATAGTGTTTCCTGTGCTCTCAAGTACCCTTTCTGAGTTCCTGCTCTGAAGCAACACAGGCTGATAAGAGACTTTGCAGGTTCTGGAGCTTTCCCTCATCACTTTCCTGCAGTCTTTCATTGCCTTCATTTCCCCTCATTGCAGTCTAATTTAAAACTTTATAGCTTTCCAAACTTTTACAGGCTTTCTCCACTTAATCTTTTTTAGCCTTTTAACATTTCCTTAAATTAATCTTTTGTTACTTCCACAAAGCTAGCAATTTCCTTTTCTCTATTTTTCCTAAATATTGGCTCATAGCCTTGATCTTAAACATTGTTCATTTTTCTTCGGTATTTTTTTTATGTCATGGGGAGAAATGCATGTGAAAGCTTTTTATAAACCAGAAAGCATTATACACGTGTAACTTAACTGGTATTAACAGGACCGCTGTGCCTCCTTCACTCTTTGTGCTCTTTCCCAGCCTTAAAGGCTTCTCTGTAGAGGAGGAAATGTTGTAGAAAAATACTTCCAAGTGCTTATTATGTCTGATAATGAAAGATAAAGCATATGCACACATACATACTTGGGCTTAGGGTTTCAGTATACTAAAGTTGATAAGACATGCACATAAATTGGACAGTGCCATGAGAAATGCCTTGGGAATGGTGAGCTGAAAGACAAGGAATCTCAGGAAAAGGTTATTTCTGGCTGTGAGCTGTTAGCACATGGATAGGGTGATGTGTGAAAGAGCTGGGATTACTAAAGGAGTTTGTCAGATTTAGTAACTAAGGCAAGTTTGAAATAGGCACATTGTAGGGGTCTTCAGTGCCAGAGCAAGGAGTTTAAATTGTATTTGGTAAGTACCAGGGAGCCACTGACACGATCAAAGTATTATCCATCTGGCAGTATTGTGTAATTTCAACTTAAAAAATTACTTTGCTTGTAGTCTTGGACACCTTGCTTTTGTATAAAGCAAATGTATGTTTATGAAGTAAATTATAAAATGGCTTCAACCCTAGCCTATTTAATAGTGTGGTCAAAAAATGATTTCCAGATGAAATTAAGTCCAGGAAAATAAGCTGCTTAGTTAAGATATGGCCAGTATTTAAAGTAGAATAAAATGCCACTTTTGTGCTGTTTTAAAAATTGTTTTTATGAATTTTAGTGTTGATTAGTCAGCTATCTACTTCATTTTTCCAACTGCTGCAATGCAGAAAAGCTCCATTTTATTTTTTCTCCCTTTGCATGAGTAAGTAGCTGGTTATAACATTTTTTCCACTTGGGTAGAATGAATAGTTACTAGGAAAGGAGCTTTTGATGAATAGCCCTCCTAGATGTGTTCTTAATTTTGGTGAAGTATGTAACCCTATGAAACACTGTTTTCTCCTTAAGAAGGAAAAAAAAAGGGACAGATTACCCACAGGGTTGTGAGGACCACTTATACAAACAAATGCTGGGAAGTTCTGGTTCAAAGTGGCACCATAGGAGACCTTGAACTTGCTTCCACCCAGAGACACATTGAGTCCAGCTAGAATGGAACAATTTCCTCTTAAAAAACAAAGGTTGGCTGAGTGACAACTACACACCTGGCAAACAAGAAGAAAACCACATTGAGGCATTTAAAAGAGTTGGAACACAATTTCACGATAAAGCCCACCCCTGGCACAGTGACCCACAAGTGGGAAGGAACTCAAAACCTGGAACTTCTCCCTGAGGAGCAATGTGTTCAAACCCACATCAGGTATACCAACTTTTAAGACATACACTTGAGAGACAACGCCTCAAAACATACACCTGAAGACCAACAGGGGCCTGCGTCCCAAGACCCAAAAGACTGACGTGATCTGAGAAACTGCTCTTACAGGGTTCAGAGGCAGCTGATAGCACTCAGATCAAAGGTGAAGGAGGCTCACCTGCTTCTATTACAATGGCCTGAGGAGCAAGCATCTAACTGAATATATACCTAGGAGCCTGCTGGAACATTCCAGAGAGGAAACTGGCAGGTGCCATCTTTGCAGTCTCCCTTTACCATGCTCCAGAGCACCAGTATCTCTCATAAACAAGCTTTTACATGCCTCTGGTGTTTCCATTTTTGTGGCTGCCACCTAGGGGATGCTTCTGGATCATCTGGCTCTGGAGGCCAGGGAAGCTTATGTTCCTGGTCTCATGGGACTGTAGTATTTGGCGTCACCTCCAAAAGGAGCTCATACCCCGTCTGGTGCCCCAATTTTTGTGACTGCAAGAAAAGAAGAGAGGAACTACAAAAACAGAAAATTATTAACAAAATGTCGATAAGCACTTACCTATCAATCACCTTAAATGTAAATGGACTAAATTCTCCAATCAAAAGACATAGGGTGGCTGAATGGATAAAAAGACAAGACCCACCTATATGCTGCCTACAAGACAGTCACTATAGATGTGAGGACACACAAGACTGAAAGTTAAGGGATGAAAAAAGATATTCCATGCAAATGGAAACCAAAAGAAAGCTGGAGTAGCTATACTTATATCAGATAAAATAAACTTTAAAACAAAGACTAATAAAAGACAAGGACATGACATAATGATAAAGGGGTCAATCCAACAAGAATATATAACATTTGGGGGCGCCTGGGTGGCTCCAGTCAGTTAAGCGTCTGCCTTCAGCTCAGTTCATGATCCCAGAGTCCTGGGATCGAGCCCCGCATCGGGCTCCCTGCTCAGCAGGGAGTCTGCTTCTCCTTCTCCCTCTGCCTGCCGCTCTGCCTACTTGTGCTCTCCATCTCTCTGTCAAATAAATAAATAAAATCTTAACATTTGTAAATATTTATGCACCCAACTTAGGAGTGCCTAAGTATGTAAAGCAAATATTAAACAGGAATGAAGGGAGAAATAACTCCAGAAACCAATATTACACTGTATGTTAAATATTTTAAAAAGTAATAAAGGGAGAAATAGACAGCAGTGCAACAGCAGTAGGGCCTTCCATTGATGGATAGATCATCCAGACAGAAAATAAGGAAACATTGGCCTTACAGGATATGTTAGACCAGATAGACTTAACAGATATTTACAGAACATTCCAGCCTAAGGCAACAGAATACACATTCTCAGGAGCACATGGAATGTTTTCCAAGATACATTATATGTTATGCTACAAAACAACTCTTTTTTTAAATTAAATTAGCCAATGTATAGTACATCTTTAGTTTTTGATATAATGTTCAATGACTCATTACTTGTGTATAAAACCCAGTGCTCATCACATCATGTCACAAAACTAGTCTTAATAAATTCAAAATGATTGAATCATGTATCTTCCAACCACACTGGTATGAAATTAATTACACAAGGAAAACTTAAAAACTCACAAATATGTAGAGATTAAACAATATGCTACTGAACAACTAACAGGTCAAAGATATCAAAAAAGTACCTTGAGACAAATGAACATGGAAATGTAACATACCATATGGGATGCAGCAAAAGCAGTTCTAAGAAGTTCATAGTGATAAATACTTATCTCGAAAAATAAGTCTCAATCTAACTTTATACATTAAGAAACTAGAAAAAGAACAACAAATGAAGCCCAAAGTTAGTAGAAGGAAGAAAATAATAAAGATTACAGCAGAAATAAATGAAATGGAGACTGAAAAGACAGTAGAAAAAAATCAATGAAACTAAAAGCTGGTTCTTTGAAAAGATAA